TGCTCTTCCGTCCCACGGATGGAAATCCCGCAGGCACTCCTCGCGTGGCCCGGCGTGGGCAGCCTTGTGCTCTCCCAGCAGCAGGACTCAGCCTGTCCCCGCGGGTCCCCGCGCCACGCGGGAGCTGCTCCCGTGGGTGCTGCTGCTCGCGCGGTGTAACGCGAACCGCGTGATAATCATTCACACCCGGGCTCTTGAGAGCGACAGGGACCTAAGTGCCTGCAGGCAGCCGGGGCTTTCCAGGAGCAGCGGCAGCGTGCGGGGGCTGTGCTGAGCTCCCCGCCAGCCCCCCTGGGTGGCCTCTCCGAGCCTCTTCCCCAAGCCCCCCGTCCCGCTGCCTTTCCTGCTGCTCTCCTGCTCCCCATTACTCCCAGCCCTTGGCCGCCTGTCAGCTTTATGTAGACATACCCCAGAGTTTTTCCTCAGGGTGTAATTTGCCCTGACAGCCACCTCCGTGCTGTTGTTTTCCTGCTAATGGGATTAGCCGCGTGCAAATCCGGAGGTGATGGAAGGGGGGGCTGTTGGCCCCTGCCGCGGGGTACCCGGGGCTGCTTCCCAGAGCTATCGCCGCCGGCATCTCGCGGCCCTTTTGATAGGATCATGCGTCTGGCAGCTCCTCCTCGGCCTCTCCTGGACTTTTGAACCACCCTATAATTTTCTTGTCAAATTAGAGTCCTGGGCCGGGTAGAGCGTATTTGACAACAAATTGTCTTGTCAGAGCGGGCCCTGACGGGCACAAGCGGGGGCTGAACTATGGGCAGGGAGGGAGACTTGTAGGACTCGCAGCTGGGTGAGCACGGGGAAAATGCTGGCCATGCCCCCAGCCCACCCCGGCACCCTGCTGTCACTCTGGAGTCACGTTTTCCACAGGGAGGGAACCCAGGTTGGGAGGATCCAGGGCTGTAGAAGAAATTATACGAGGTGTCCTAACCCTTGGACCAAGGTGGTGCCAGCCTCTGGGTTGTGCATCAGCACCTCTGTGCAAACGGTATTGGGGTCCTGTGAAGCGAGCAGTGTGGGACCCCCTACCCTGGTCCAGGGAGAGTGGGCAGGAGGGATTTGGGAGCTGCTGCTCTGGCAGATGGGCTGCTTTGCTATGCAGAAATAGCTGTTTTTTCTTGCTCTGTTAGCAAAACAAACCCACATCAGTTTATGTTACCCGCCCTGCCTGTTAAAATGCCAGTGACTTTTCCAGTCATTACTCTGGTAATCACCAGGGGCCAAGTGGCTTGACGGGGATAGTTTGGCAGGCAGCATGTGCCCATAGTTCCAGCATGCCCAGGAGCTCTTCTTGCCTTGCAACTCCGGCCCAGAAGCTTGGGGAACTCTTGGAGGGTTCTTGGGGGCTGAGAGGACCTTGCACCAAATATGCTGCAAATGGACCTGGGGAAGCTGACAGCTCTTGCTGTTGCCTGCTGAAAGGCCAGGGCGGGGACCCTGGCCATAACAACACCACCCAAACAAACAAATGGGACAGCCCAGGTGCTTTTGAGGACTGTTGCTATGCCATAGGGGAATGCTGGCGCCTGATGCTCAGGGTGGAGCCTCATGCACAGATTCCTATCAGGGGCACGGAGAGCTGAGGGTTCTCTGCTTTACTGGGTAAATTAGCTACAACAAGGTGTCCAGATAAGATAATGCTGAGGAGGCTGTTCTCTGTTGGCTGGGTTGTTTCCCTGGCAGGCTATGAACCTTTCTGTGGAGTGATGCTTGGGCTGGGACCTGGCTTTGCTGAAGGCAAAATTATTTGCTATCCCTTGCTGCTCCCTGGTGCTGTCTCTGCCCGGCACTGGAGCTTGTCTGCTGCCTACTCTTGCTCATGTCTGTGGTCATGGCACCATGGGGCAGTGTCCCCACTTGTGCAGAAGCTGGCTACTGCCTCTGCTCTTCCAAATCAGCCTGAAGACAGGCACAGCATGGTTTGGGCTACCAGGGGGAGCCTGGATGGCAGAAGTAGCGGTGACCCCAGATGTCTGGCTGTTGTGGCATTTCCACCCAGCCTCCTCCAGCACGGGCTGGCAAGGGCTTGGTTTATTGCCCTGCCAGGGCATGTTGATGGGTTTTACACGTAGCATGAGGAGTGTTTATGGACTTGCTCCCTGTAAAATGAGCAAGAGGCCGCAGCATCCTGCTGTGCTCTGGGAACACCTGCAGCCTGCCTTCTGTCTCTGACAGGGTCCCTGCAGCAGGCAGCTTTGCTATCCTGTACGTGCCAATGAGATGAGAGCAGGGCAGTGGCAAGGAGCACAGCCCCAGTAGGATGTAGAAACTGGGGCTACAGACCCATGGCAGCCTTCACCCCAGCACTGGCTTGCTGTAATTCCCATAGGTTCCCACCATGCGACAGGCACTTTGGCTCACCCCTTGGTGAAGCAGGCTGGGGGTAGCCCAGACTGGCACCCCCCTGCAGCAGGGCTGGCCAGGCTAATCCAGGAGGGCTGGGGAGTGACTGCAGGCAGAAAGCCCCGTGCTGGCAGGGCTGGCAGACAGCACTGTGCAGCTCAGTGGCGCCAGCTTTGTGAGAGCTGCTGCCAGGTTTTATGCCCGCTCTGTTGTGTGAACCACCTCCAGTGAGGGCACGGGGGAGCCAAGGGGAGGGGGTGGCTGGGCGCTGCTTCAGCTGGGTCAGGGACATGGGCTGCCCTGGCTGGGACAAGAATGTCCCTGCTGGAGGCTCAGTGGTCCATGGGGACCAGCCACAGGGCTGGGCCAGCTGGAGGAGACCTGTAAGAGGCTAGTCTTCAACTGCCCACTGGCACAAAACCTGCCTTAAAAAGGAGTGCAGCTGAAGACAGCTGTCCAAGCCAAGCAGTGGCCTCAAAGCAACCTGGCACCATGTGGGAGGGGAAGCAAGGCCACTGGAGAGGGGAGAGGACATGCCCTGTCCCTCATATTTCATCAGGATGCCAGCTGCACCCCATGTGGTGCAAGGAGGGGGACCTGGCCCAGGCAATGCTGCTGGGTGGCTTGTGGCTAGATGTGGGGGAATGTGGTGTGGATGAAATACGGTACTTGCATGCACATGGTGCCTCTGGATAGGGACGACGGAGGCAGGGTGGAGGCAGGGTGGAGGCAGCAGCCCTTGTAAGACAGTATCTCATGACTCATACCTTAGCCTGGAGCGGCCTTCCCAGCGATGTCCTTGCCAGCATGGACGGCTGAGCACCCAGCTGAGCGAAGTGCTGTCCTTGCAGCAGTGTGCTAGAGGTGCCCCCCAGCCTGCAGTGGGGCTGCAGGCAACTGGGGTGACCAGGTCCAAAGGCAGCAGTGGAGAGAATTAGCAGGACGAGGGCTCTCACTGGGACGGGAGACTGAGTCACAAAACAGTCCCACCTGAAGCGTGAGCTTTGCCTCTCGGCGCAGCCTGTTGCCTCTCCTCCTGCACCCGCGGGTGGGCTCTGGTGTCCCCAGGGCCCTGCTGTGCAGGGAGGGGTGCCCTGCGTTTCGGGAGGCAGACACCAGGCGTCCTGGCGCTGGGTTTCACAAGCCCTCATGACCTTTCCAGCACGGCGACGCGCCCTGGGGAGGATTGTTTCATACAAAACAGACCTTTGGATAGGCTTTTCATTTCCTTCACAGCCAAGCACAAAGGAACAGCAAGTCCTTGCTCCTCATAAAATGACAACAGTCAGTGATGCAGATGGGCTGGCTCTCCACAGTCAGCAGGGCCACGTCCTGCGCCCACGCCATTCCTGAGGTCCTGTAAGGGGGGCAGGGGGCTACAGCCCTACAGCTCCCTCCTGCTTCATCTTCTACCCCAAGCTTCCCCACAGGCAGGAAACCTTGCCTGAGGGTCGGCTTTTAAACCCCCTTGAGAGAAAACAGATCTGTGCTCAGAGGGGGTGAGCCCTGGTGTTCAGCACCCCGTCTGGGAGCCCGGTTAATTGTCAGATGCCAAGGACACCTCGAGCCCCACTCAGAGAGGGGCTCTCGGGCACCCGCACAGCTCCGGGGTGGGCAGGGACCCAAGGTGCAGCACCTCGGGGTGCGGAGGAGGAGGGGGGCTGCAGGGGAGGGTGTAGGGGTGCAGGACGCAAGGGGTGAAGAACCGCGCCCCGGGAGCCCCTTGCAGGGCTGCGCCCCGGGCGGTGCCTCCAGCTGCGGGCGGGGCTGCACATCTGGGCGGGGCGGGCGGGGAG